AGAGTTAGAAATATAAATGGTATCCAGTAAATAGAGATATGAAGTTGATATGCAACTCCTATAGTGGACAACAAGGTTTATGGGATCAACAGTCAGAAGAAAAGATATTAAGTCATTGTGGGACTTGGTAACAAAGATATCTGGATAAGGGGGTAGATGTTGTAGATAGGCATGGGAATGAGCCCCAACCCATCGGGGAACCCGGTCCACCCGCCTCGGTCGGGGACAGGGATCCTCCACTAAATCGGGGATGGGGATGGGGACGGGGATCCCCGTTTGTCTCAAACCGGGGATGGGTATCGTACTCCCCGTCCCGCCCCGTACCCGTTATATATTAATTAATAAATTATATATGTATTTATACATACATATATATATGTGTATATTATTTATTTCAACTAAAGCAGTAATTCATAATTTATTATTTCCCAACTAGGTTTATAATCTAAAATTGTTATTTTTGGAATGTTAATATGTAATATTGTTGGATGTCAAGTTAAAATGCAATTACTCGATAAGTTTTGTATATTACTGGATATGGTTTTATATTACTCAATATCTTTTGGTACATGTGACTTTAAGTTTTTTTGGATTAAATTGAATTTTTTTGGGTTTTAGGTTATTAATTCTTATATGATGTTGTGATTTTTTTGTATTAAATTAAATTCATTTTGATTTTAGGTTTATTGAAAATGTTTGAGATTTAAACATGTATGATCTCTCACATATTTAATTTAAAATAACTTACATAAACGAAAAAAGAATCCTCGTTTCCCCGCTGGGGATGGAGATGTGATTATATTTCTCGGCAGGGATGGGGACGGGGATAGGGATAGAGATAAGTAATCAGGGACGGGGACGGAGATTGAGGTCCTCGCCCCATTCCCATGCCTAGTTCTAGAGGTTAAACTTGGAGAAAACTTAATATCTTAATACTTGCAGGAAGATTACTGCAGATTCTGTGAAGAGGAACACAAATAACACAAAGAATATCTATATGTAGGATCGTTGTGTTAGAGATATATACAGTAGAACAAACTTTATTATCAGAATAATACATTGATTACATCGGTTACACACACTCACACACACATATATATATATAAATATACAAAACATATACAACCGTTGTACCCCTTCAAAGAGTCGTTGACACTCCTTCAAAAGCAACAGTCTAATAGTTTGTAACTCCTAAAATAAATAACTAATCATAACTACCAAACAAATGATATCTAGCTTATACTTTCAACACTCCCCCTTAAGCTGGATATGAACAACATACATCTTGAATCATTCATCATCAGCCTTGATTTCTCCATGATAAGGAGAGTATACTAACAACAAACTTGAACACCAGAATCTTTATAACTAGTACACTTTGTTCATCAACACATACATGGAGAGTTTCATCCATATTTACACAATGATCATCATCAACAGAAAAAAAACATCAGATTCTTTTCATGTGGTATGTTCATAGCAGATAATACAATTAACCTTAAAGTCTTCTTCCAGAATCTTTTCATCTGGGCTTGAACAAAACTTCAAACATTTTGTTTTACCCTTGTTAAACTGTGCCATTTTATTTTGATGGTTATACAAAACATTATTGACATGATCAACCGATCTTCCTGGCAAATATGTGGCAATTTTTGCCCATTTGTTCCCATACTTGCCTTGTAAATCAAACAACATTCATTTTTCCATTTCCGAAAACACTCCTTTTTTGAGATTAAGTTGATAATTGTTCAACCACCGAAGACAACATGATTTTCCCGTGCGTTGAAGAAATCCTTTTGAAAGAAGAAGATCTCAATCTCTGGGTCCGTATTCTTCGACATGCTTGATCAAGAGTTCATCATTCTTCTATTTACAATGGACCTTTCTTTATCTTTCTAGAATTCGTTGTTCCGGAGACTCCATATAATCTTGTTTGAATTTCTCCTAGAGTTTTTTGTATCTTTTTGTGCCTTCAAGGTAGAGATGGCCAAATCGGCCCGGCCCGGCCCAGGACTGCCGGAGGACCGGGACCGAGACAGACAAAGGACCGGCCCGAGACCGGGACCGGTAAGGACCGGTTATGGACCGAAAACCGGGACCGGTTGAGGTTTTTGGTAGTTTCGTGGGACCGGGACCGACTATGGACCGGCCCGGCCCGGCCCGGCCAGAAAATTCAAATAATTTTATAAATAAATGTATTCTTAAATAATTTTATAATGTATTTTTATAAGAAACGTAATTTTAATTATATTAAAACGTATTTTTAAAGTGTATTTGAGTGATCCAATTGTAAATTCTATAATGTATTAAAAATATATATCATTAAAAAATATAAAAAATCTTATTTTTTAATGAAGGGGGACCGGACCGGGACCGGGACCGGCAACCCATAACCGGTTATGAAGTACCTTGACGGTCCTATTATTTTCGACCGGGACCGGGACCGGTTACGCCGGGACCGGTTATGGCCGGTTATGAGAAATGTTATGAAAAATGTTAGGACCGATTGGGACGGGGACCGGCCCGGCCCCGGGACCGGTTTTTGGCCATCTCTACTTCAAGGAATATAACAGAAAAAAATCACATACTGCTTTGTTCTTCTTTCTCCCCTTCGAAATCCATCTTTCTTCTGCGTTATTTGTTGTTTTTTTTGTACTTGTCTTCAACCTTGAATCGAATAGGTTCTGATACCACTTTGTTGGAGAAAGCTTAATATCTTAACATTTGCCCAAAGATTACTGCAGATTCTGTGAAGAGGAACACAAATAACTCAGAGAATATCTATATGTAGGATCGTTGTGTTAGAGATATATATACTAAAACAAACTTTATTATCACAACAATACATTGATACATTAGTTACACACACACACACATATATATATATATATATATATATATATATATATATATATATACAAAACATATACAACCGTGGTACCCCTTCAAAGAGCCGTTGACACCCCTTCAAAAGCAATGGTCTGATAGTTTGTAACTCCCAAAATAAATAACTAATCACAACTGCTAAGCAAATGATATCTAACTTATACTTTCAACAAAACTACGAGACAAGTCAGATGAAACCTATTGTGAAATATGAGCAATCTTTAAGTGGATGCATGTAACTGTAACTTGTTGGTAATGATGAGGCTTGAACTTACGAATTCTTCTATTAAGATTTTCTATTCCCTGTGTGGTGTCATATGACTGTCGAAAAAAATCTCAAACTTGATGAAACGCGAGCTTGAAAAATATTTGGTGTAGATCAAATAGAATAAGTCGTGCGAGATGCAGTAGCGAAGTAGATGGAACGCTTAATCGGGGGTTGTGCATAGTTACGAAGATGCAAGACAAAAAAGGTACGGAAGGTCGCAACAAGCTGAAGGAGGACACTTAGCAGGTCGCTGTGCACATTGATGGGAGGTGCAGGGGTAGAAGCGAGCAGGCAAACTAAACGGAGAACTTGGTGAGGTCATGCTTCATGTCCCATGGGATAAAATCAGGGTTTTGTTAAAGGCGATGATGATTTTAAGGGTTTACACACGCGGTTGAATCAATAGCTAGTAGTCCTGTTTACAAATTAAATAGATATGAGTTTAAGGGACTGAAATTAACGACACAGAAAGAAAGAGTCTGGTTCAAACAAGAACGGTACTTATTTAAGAGAATAAGAAAACCGCCAAAGCATATATAATTTGACATTAACATCACATATAAAATCACATGTGATTCACGCGACGTTGCCCCGTCACTTGAAGACGGCCTATAAAAATCACATTTTTTGACCGTTAATGTAAAATCACATGTGATTTTGCACGTGATTTGACCGTTTTCATGTTTTTTTAAATAGTTAGCGTTCTCGTTTGATCTTCCCCCTCTCTCCCTATATATATAGCATTGATGGTGATAATTGAATTATGATGAAATCAATAGATCCAGAGACTTAAGGATTCGATGTAATGAAGTTATGATACCATATTAGCTTGATTTCTGTGTGTTGATGGATAAAAAGGGTAGAGGAAGAGTTAAGTTACAATAAATAAATAAAAGAGACATATATACCTAGAGTAAACTATGAACTAATAACAAAAACAACTCTTGAACTATACATATTTTACATTTGGAATATTTCCTGATATCACAACTACAAAGGTTCAAATGCGATGACTCCGGGCTATCTGCAAAGCAGGTGGTCACGCTGAAATTAGTCGGCTCGCATAGCGGGTTGGATATCCAGGTTAATAAAAAAAAAAGGTCCAGGTGGAAACGACAGAGGTTTTTTCAAAAATATTGTTATAAGTGTGTGCTTGAGAACAGGGAAGGACAAGAGTAAACCCATGAGAAGCTATTACCATGTAAGAGATGCGTTTACTTACTACAAAATTAAATGCTTGGTATAAGATACGGTGATAAATGAAAAACATGTTGATTACCGGAAAACCCTACTTGTTTGACACGGATCTCGTCTCCAAGAACACAAATGTGAATCGACATTTTTTGACTCACTCAATCATCAGCGCTTAGCACAGGCTAGAGATCGAACCATCGACCTATATATCTTGTATTGTATTTGGGTAAAATTGACTCTACCTTTATGCCAACCGAGCTAGATGAGAGGCTCTAGCCCCTAGGCATGTTAAAGATCCTACTCAATCCTCATAGTCGACTTCTACTCATCGTGATTTCATTGTTTGGAATTTGTCTTGTTATTATTTATATAGAAAATAGATTTACAAAGACAAAACTATATGCTTCTTTTTTCCATTAGTTTATATTCCTCTTTTTGCTACAAATATAGGAAAACCTTAAAAGGGTTTGCATTTCTTCATCGATTCACCTTTCCTTAAGGTGGTTAAGCCTTGCTCAATATGTTCAAGCCATAGGTCCTGTCTAGAACTAGACAAGGTGAATGGTTATCCAACAAATGTTCACATGCAAGACACTTTTTCTAACTCTAGTTACTCTTACAAATAATATGCAAACTCTTCTTGTGTGAATAGGTTGAAGATGAAAATGGAGGGAAACATTGGAAGCAAGTCGAAGTGAAGGTGGAAGACCATATGATAGCCCCACGTTTTCCTGATGGATTATCACTTGAATCTTATGATGTTTATATTGGTGATTACCTTTCTGGGTTAGGAATGGATCCATTTCCAAAAGCTAAACCATTATGGGAAATTCATGTAATCAAATATCCAACCAGCAAATCATCTGGAAGCCTTATTTTTAAGCTCCACCATGCGCTTGGTGATGGCTACACTATTATGGGTGTCATGTTATCCTGCCTACAAAGAGCTGACAACCCTTCTATCCCCTTAACATTTCCAAGCTTTCGAAAACCACCTAAACCAGATAATGGCATGAAGAGCATACTTAGCCTCGTACCACAAGTTTTGAGTGGTGTAGTAAACACGGTTTTGGATTTTGGTATGAGCATATTGCAGAGTAGTTTGTTGGAAGATTCTTCGACACCAATACGATCCGCGGAAGAGGGGGTAGAGTTCCTGCCGACCGTTGTAACGACCATGACATTCTCTCTAGATCAGATCAAGCAAATTAAGGATATCCTTGAAGTGGTATGCATCGACTTATTTCTCTATTGATTAGTTGAAGCTACTCTAGATTTACATTGCTTTGTTCAAAATTCACTTAATTATACTCCGAAAAAGTTGCATATATGAAAAATAAACAATAGATATTTTAAATGTATAAAACATTTTTCTTAGAGTACATGAATCAAGTCAAATATTACATTAAGTAGGGTGACATATACTAATTATAGTAGTCAACAAACAAAGTTAAGATATATTTGTTCAAATAATAATCCTAAACGATCGTGAGAAATTAAGAATAGAGGTTAAAAGAAGGTTCATATGTGAATTATTGAAAAAATTTGAATGGAAATTATATTTGATAATGCATTTATGAACCGATATTAATTAGAGCTTATTAATATGGATTCACATATTTGTAACATAATATTTATATTAAAACATATTTAATGTTTGATGTCAAATAAAAAAGTTGGCGTAATATATGATAAACTTAATTAGTATTTATGATGGAATAATTATAAAAAGTTTTTTCCTTTGATAATTATTTTTGATATTTTCTTTTTTTTCTTAATAGTTCCATTCACCTTGAATTTATCTGTGTTTAATTTAAACAAACGAATGACATTTCTTCCTTTTTAACTTATTTGGACCTTCCAATTGTTACTCCAACACATTTTAATCGATTATATATTATATCCCAAGAAAATAATACAAAGCATTGGTTCATCAAATATGATATATATATATATACACACACACACGGATAAGATGAGGAGTATCTTGAACGTATACCCTAACGTCCTTCAGTTAAGGACGGACTTATAGTGGTGCATACGGTAGCACGTACGACCGTATATTCTTTCATCAAAGGGTAAAACAATTTAGGTTTGTGAAAGGTGCAACCATATTAATTTATTGTGTGCCACCGTATGTATTCTGAAACTAAATGAGAACAAATTTTATTTGATAGAGTTGATTTGTAAGGCTTTTATTCCACCTCAGACCCAAGTTCGAATCTTGTTAGTAAGTCAAATGGTGCCACCATTTGAAAAAAATTATGTATATTTGTTTCTTATAGTCATATGGTGTCATCGTTTGAAATTTTTTCTTATAGTCAAATTGTGCCACTGATTTGAAAAAAATTCTGAGTTCGTCCCTGCCTCCAACGATCATTTTCTTACAACTAAGCGATAGTGTTTAATCCTTACCAGACTGATTAAGTTCATAATGTTTTGAGTTTAATGTCACCCAAGAAAACTCTTTTTATAGGGGTTGAGTCCACTGCAACAACTCATATTTCTTAGTATACTTATTTTTTTCTGTTAAACAGACGATAAATGATATAGTTTCCGGAGTGATCTTCCTTGGAACTAGATTATATATGGAAGCAACAAGCAATGAGTCGGGAAACGCGAGGTCCACATCACTGGTGTTGCTTAATACTAGATCGATTGGTGGTTACAGGTCAGTAGATGAGATGCTTCACAACCCTGAAGCACAAAATCTGTGGGGAAACCAGTTTGCTTTCTTGCAGGTTTCGCTACCCAAGTTACGCCAAGCACATAACTCTTTAGACCCGCTAAAATTTGTTTATGAAGCCCACAATATCATTAAAAGAAAGCGAAACTCATCGGCGGTTTATCTAACTGGAATGCTACTTGAATCTATAAGAAAATATAGGGGCACAGAGGTATGTCTGAATTCTCCCTCTCCCTCTCTCTCTCTCTCTGTAATGATTTTTCATAGAAGCTTGTGTTCATATTTTTTGGTGGTGGACCATGGGATGTTTTAACTTAAATTCCATGGTCCAAAACAAAAGAAATGAAGCTGAAAAACAAAGCAACTTCAAAGTCTATGCCTCTGTCTCACTCTCTCTATAAAACTGTGATGTTTCTGAAATATGGTGTGATAACGCATGCAAATTAAAGGCAGCTGCTAAATACGTTCATCTCACCCAAAAGAATGCAAGCATGGGGTTGACGAATCTGGCCGGGCCAATTGAAAAAATGTCTCTGTGTAATCAACCAATAAAAGGCTTGTACTTCATGATCTTCAATGTTCCACAGGTATCATCATTTCCTAATACCAACCAGTCTGCTCTATATGCCTATTCAATAATTGATCCAATGCCTATTTTGGTCGATGCTACTTTTTGGCAGAGTTATAAAGTAACGGTCATGAGTTACATGAACCAGTTGAGGGTTACCCTTGGAACCCAGAAAGGCTTTATAGATCCTATGAAGTTAAAGAGATGCATTGAGGAGGCTTACGATATGATTCTCAAGGCAGCACTTAATTCTAAATGAGATAGAAGAAAGTTCATACGGTATTAATCACTATGTATCCATGGTTTTGACTTGCTTCAAACCAAATAAAACAGCTAAAGTGTATTGATGTCTGGGTACAATATCTGCTGGCTTTTATAGGTGGCTTAATTTCTATATAAACTTTGATTGTTATCTCAACTTTTTTTGAATGATCTTTACCGGATAAGCTTGTCTTTTTTTTTTTTTCTTTATGTAATATATTAATATATATTTAAATCAATAAAAATAAATGATTATACATCAATATGAAAATTGTAAAATGTCGGAATTTTGTTGAACATTTTTACGAATTTAATGAAAACCAAATTTTTAAGGAGTAAACTATAGTTTTGGTTCCCGTGGTTTACAATCAACTACGAAGACCGTTTCTAGACTTGAATAAGGATAATTATAGTCCCTGTGGTTTACATTTTGGTCTATAAATGGCCCCTTAAATCTAACACTGTTAAAAATTTCAATTAAGCGTCTGTTTGGCTCATGCTGAAAATGGTAATGAATATGACAGAGAATGAAAATGAGAATTAATTTTCATTTCCTCCGGTTTAACTAGGAATGAAATTTTGGGATTCTAAGAGAATTATCTCATAATATTATAGAGAACCAAACAATTTCTTTTATTTCGTTTTTATTTATTACCGCCTAATACCTCTAACCAAACATCTGTTGTCACATATCCGCTTTTATTGGTCCTCTCCCAAAGGAGCTTTCTAGCTACTGATCTCCTCGACCAGCGTCTTTCTTTTTCCGGGGKTTCAATTAAAAAGGCTAAAAGAAAAGCCGCTTACTTAGACGAGGTCGTCTGGGGGTTTGCCGCGGTTCATTGTTGTGCACTCGCAGAAGACAAGTGAAAAGTCTCTCGAGGTTTCGCCGTGGGAATTTCGCGAGACTTTTCGCCGCTTTGAAACATTTTAAAAATATCAAAAAAAATTCCACGTGGTTTATCTCTAAAAAAATAGGAAGGCCCTAGAACCCCCCGGCCCCTATACCAAAGCAGTTAAATGCAAGGAGGTCAGAGTAGAGGAGTGATTTTCTCCTTTTCTATTTTGCCTTTACTCAACCACAAGACCAAACATGTAGTTCATTTTTTTTTTACTTTTCTCTATTTATATATATGATTACACACACGTAATATGTATATATATACACACATAATGGTTAAATCAAATGAGAACCACAAATATATTACAAACTAGGTGAACAAAAAAAATTCACATGTAATCTTTTCACAAGGTGAAAACAAACATATGTGAAATAATATTTTAAATCAAAGGTTTTAATGAAAAAAATCATGTGAAAAAATATTTTTAAAGTTGAGGAAAACTCATCTCGACGGTATCCACACACACATAGAAGTAATTGAAATTGTTTCTTAGTTTTTATGCATACGTGCATGCTATGCACTTGTGTACACACGAACAAATTGCTTAAATATTAGTTGTATGCACAACTGCATACAGTCTACATGAACGATTACCCCCTTTCTCATTAGTTTGTGACCCCACCCTTGTCCCTTGCTGCTTGCCGATCACTACTAGAAAACCAGGTATCAGCGACGACTATCAGCGAGGGAAATTTTCTTTCGCAGATCAGCGAGGGATCAGCGAGGGAAGTGACAAAAAACACATTCCCTCGCTGATCCCTCGCTGATCAGCGAGAGAATTTCCAAAAAACTCATTCCCTCGCTGATCCCTCGCTGATCTGCGAGGGAAGTTCCGAAAAAACTAATTCCCTCGCTGATTCCTCGCTGATTTGCGAGGGAACTTTCTTCTACAACTTCCCTCGCTGATCCCTCGCAAATCAGCGAGGGATCAGCGAGGGAATGTGAATTTTTTCATTTCCCTCGTTGATCCCTCGCTGATTTGCGAGGGATCAGCGAGGGAATGTGAATTTTTTTCATTTCCCTCGCTGATCCCTCGCTGATTTGCGAGAGATCAGCGAGAGATTTTTCTATTTTTCCTATTTTCTCATTTTTATGTGTTGATATCGTATGTATGCATGTCGTGTGTTGTTTGTGTGTGTGTATATATATATATATATGTTGTGGTTGCTAACCGCGATATATGCATGTGTTATAAGTATATATACCCGTCGTGAGAGATCAAAATGATATACATTCACATGTATGTATATGTGTTATAT